AGCTCAGTCATCCCAACTCCCTGTATAGATAGTGGTAGGATGATGAATGAATTCTTCCATCCACCTACCTACCGGTCAGGGAAGTAGATTACCTAGGCTATGTCTACACTATGTGTTTTGTCGGAAGAGGCAATGCAAATAAAGCGCTGATTAGCATTATTTGTGCTTCATTTGTATAATCTATTCTGATTCGTTTTTGCACAAGTGGTTTTTGCACAAAAACTTGCAGTGTGGACGTGTCCATTTTGTGCAAAACCTCCTTTTTTCCATAAGAATCTTGGACAAAAAGGGGTTTTTGTGCAAAACAGACATGTCCACACTGCATGTTTTTGTGCAAAAACAGATTGGAACAGATTATGCAAATAAAGCACGAGAAAATGCTAATCAGTGCTTCATTTGCATTGCCTCTTATGACAAAACACATAGCGTAAACCTAGCCCTACACAAAAAGGAGAATCCCTCCCACTAGCATATGTAGCATCTATACAGAAGCATGTTTTAAATGTAGACGTGACTTTAGGGCAATTATACATTACAAAATTAACTCAATTGAAATCAAATAATTACTCCAGTTTTTCTTTTCCCCTCAGTCAGTGATGCATGTCCTAGCCAGAAGTGCTTCTGACTTAATTGTGGGGCACTCACAGTGAGACCCTGCTGTGTGCTCCAGCTGTGTGCTTCCCAGGGGGCTGACAGTCAACAGGCAGCATAAAATTGCCCTAGCAATATCAGCCTAAGCGCTATGCCTCTCATGGATGTGGAGGTTAAGTCAAATGTAGTGCAAGCACCTGTCCCTGGACTGCTGTCCCAATCACTGTACCCTCCCCTGCACCATGTCTCTGAGCTGTCAGGGCTGCAATGTGGGATCTACCGGCTACCGTGCCACTTTTCTTGGTGTTGAAAGCCCTGTGGGGTGGAGGTGGAGGAAGGGGAATAGAGGCTTGGTTTAAAATAGCAACTCCAAGTGGCAAGGGAAAGCAGTGAGGTCAGGCTTGAGCTGGGAGAAGGAGAAGAGGGAGGAGACAGGCAGGATGCAGAGTGATGTGATGACATCACTCTGTCATCCTGCAGAAAAAACTTTTTTTTTTTAAATGAGAGAGAGAGAGAGAGATATTCGAGTCTGTCCATGAGTCAAGAATTCCCTCTAAATGGTAAGAGGTAGGACCACCAGATTTGGTATGCAGCTTCCTCTTATCCTAACTTAAGCAAGGTCAAGGTTTGTGCCAGGAAAATTCTAAATCTACCCTATCTGCACTAGCATTCACTATATTAGGCATCCAGTCACTGCAGAGTGACCACAGGGGTCCACCACACCAGGAGGAGAGTGGCTAGCTGGGGCTCTTCATATTGCTGGCCATTGGTCCAGGTAAGTAGTCCCTTACCTCCAAAACCCTCTCACCAGTCCCTCAGCAGCGATACCAGATGGGGGAGCCCCACTGACCAGCAGGCCCAGTTGCCCCCCCCCAAGGAGCTGCTTGCTGTCCCAGGCAACCCAGTGCTTCTCCTCCGAGAGGAGACGCTGTCGAAGCAGCAGCACCCTCACTGCCCTAGGGAGGCCCCGGATCTAATATCATCAATTCACAGACACTTACCTTCACTCCCCCTATCCTAAGCCCCCACACCCTACACAACTCTCAACCCACTGCACTGACTCCTGCACTTCTCACACCTCCCAGACTCTTGCTCTGAGCCCCACATCAAACCCCAAACCGGACTTCTGAACCCTCCTCCCACCGCCAGCCCCTTGTCCTGAATGACTCAAGCAAATATATTTTATTATATATGGGATGTAAAATCCTATCCCTATCCTAAGCCCCCACACCCTACACAACTCTCAACCCACTGCACTGACTCCTGCACTTCTCACACCTCCCAGACTCTTGCTCTGAGCCCCACATCAAACCCCAAACCGGACTTCTGAACCCTCCTCCCACCGCCAGCCCCTTGTCCTGAATGACTCAAGCAAATATATTTTATTATATATGGGATGTAAAATCCTATTTAATCAGTTAACTGGTTAATTGTTACATTGTTACATTTAACCAGTTAACCAATCAAGCGGGATCCCAGGGGGCTATATTACCCAACCCAGTCCCCATGGCTGCCAGCCCCGAAGGGCTGCCTGCTCCTGACCTGCAGCGTGGTGGGCCCAGCCAGACTTGAATAGCCCACAGCCCATGGGGGTGGCTGGCCCCTGGCCTGCTGCATAGTGGGCACAGACCAGCAATGCCCATCCAGCAGGGCTGCTGGCCCTGCAGAATGGCTGGCTCCCGATCTGGGCCCAGTAGAGGGCTGCTCCTGTGTGCCAGTTAACCATTCACATCCCTAATAAATATATATGAAATTTTTACAGAAACTAAAAAGATATTCATCTTGTCCCCTTTAATATTAAAGATAAGCTTAATAAGAATGCACCAGAATATGTAGTCCTTAAAACTGAACTCTATAGTACAGGAGTTCTCAAACTGGTGGTCACGACCTTTAGGGGTTCACAGCATTATTACATGGAGGGTCACAGTCATCCTCCACCACATAGATGCTCCCTTTACCTTGAGCATCTATAATAGTACTAACCATAAAAAATGTGTTTTTAATTCATATGGGGTGATTGCACTCAGTGTTGTTGTATGAAAAGAATCACCAATACAAAAGTTTGAGAACCACTATCTCATAGGCATTTTAAAATGTGTTTAAGTAACCACTTAACTGCTGAAAAATTCAGTGGTTACACATGAGGGTTAGGGTTGCCAGATGGTCTCTCAAAAATACCAAACATACGGGCTCCCTGGGAACCCATGCGGGTGGGCAGCTGGATTTTAAGCCCACTCCCTGCATGTATCAGCTCCCTCCTGCTTCCCGCGCTGCTGCTTCTCAGAGGAAGCAGCATGGGAGGGGGGCAAACAACTCCCTGGGAGCCAGTGTGCACTGGGAGGCAGCTTTTAAATCAGCTCCCCCTATTTACTAGGAGCCTGCATTTTACTGTGAAGGTTAAATGGTTACACTATTTAATGGAAGGATAAATGGTTAACTGTGTACATGGTTACACTTTCACATCCCTACTGTCCAGCACACATTCCAAACTCATTTTCCTTGTGTGCATTGTAGATATCTGCAACATGGCCACATATTAAGAAAATGTAAATGTAAACAAGAACTAATTTGTCTAGACAAAAAGCCTGCACAGGAAAGTCTAAACTAGAAACTAATCCACAGCTTACTATAAACTTTACCCAGCAAGGTGGAGTGCACTGTAAAATGAAAAAAAACAACAAATGGTCTGATAGCACTTTATAGAATAACAAAACACATAGATGGTATCATGAGCTTTCATGGGTACAGCCCACTTCTTCAGATGACCAGAGTTCTGAGTATAAAATGAGTATGTCTATTGGAACACAGTCTTAAGTAGAATATCAGCCTGCAAAATAGTCATGAAAATGTACCACAGATAGGTATGAAATTTCTCTTGCCTCTTTCATTTACCATAACAAAATTGAAAAAAAGATTATTGCCTATTCAAGTAAAATAAAATTGCTCACTCTAAGCAAAAACGTAATTTTAGTACTTCTAGGTCTCCAGAATATTTTAAACATATGACAAAGAAGTAATAAAACTTCAACCGTGACAGAACAGGTGTGAGACCTGAAAAACAGAAGGCCATCCACATATGCACAAAAGAAAGATGTGATAGAGTGTGTAAATACCAAGAGGACATAGAAGTGCTCACCCCAAAACAACAGAAAGGAGTGTGCATACTAAACACTGACAGAGCATATGCCAAGACACCACAGAGGTGTGTGTGTGTGTGTGTGTGCGCGTGTGTTGACTACTGGCAGGGCCTGCGCATGAACACCACCAGGCCAGTCGTCAGCGTGTGGTCAGAGTACTGGCAAGCGCGCGTGCTTGCGAGTCCGAGGCGCCAGTGCGCGCGCTGGCTAGTGGCAGCGTACGAGACGACCGCAAACACTGCAACTCGGA